TTTGATTTATTCGTCCAAAATTGACGAATTCCGTGGCATTCCGCGCTATAGAGTAAATTACGTTTTTATGAATGGACTCCGCGATCCCGTCCGCGTTTTCTCAGAAACCATATGGCCCTAGAAATGAAACCACATTTCAGAACATTTCGGCTTGCCCTGTGTGTTGTTTGAACGAGTTGCAGGGGTGACCTCACGTCACAGGGTCTCTCTTTTTCTCTCTGTAGCATATGCGCCCAGATGCGTTCTCAGGTACCGAAATTTGGCACCGATTGATTTAACGTGAATCGCTCAAGAAACGCTCAAGAAACATTTACAGTATTAATATCACTGTTAAAAACAGTTGCATTTTTGTGGAAAACATAATATATATTTTCAGAATAGAAACTTTAAAAGAACAGCCTTTATTAAAAACAGAAATCTTTTGTAACATTATAAATGTCTTCAGTCACTTTTGGTCAATTTAATGCATCCTTGCTGAATAAAAGTCTTAATTTCTATTAGTCGCACTGACCTCAAACTTTAGAACGGTACTGTAACTTGTTGCTTTTACAGTTGATATAATGATGAAGGAACAGTTCACCTGACTGTGAAAACGAATCTGCAAAACATCTCGTTATTTCCTAATAAAAATGTCCATGATTATTTGTTAATCGGTGCAAATGTCACACAACCGGAGCAAGTACAAGAAAACATCACATAAAACCATCTGTGACGTACACAAACAAACCGAACCTTCACTGCACAATATTAAATTCAGCATTACAGCCCAAACCAAGGTTCCCCATCAAAGGCAGGACAGTCTGGCAGGGTGCCACTCAAATCCAATTAGCAAATTCCAATTAATAGGGGGTCTCCTAATGCTTTATCAGCCACATTAACCAAACAGCTGATTAGACTTCGGCCCAAATGCACAGAAGACAATCTGATTGAGAGCTCACAAAACAAAGATAAGAGCTTGATGGATAGGCCTGTGGGTGAAAAGAAAAAAAAACTCCAACAAACTTAAAGGACTGAGTGCTTAAGACAGGCATTTAAACCTCATTAATTTAAGGGTTAAAACATTCAGATAATTCTCATAAGAACCTTATGACAGGCTGTGCACTAAAACAAACTTCTAGGCTTCTAGTGAATAATAAAATAAGCTGAATATTTAATGACGGTTAGAAATGTGACAGCTTTGTGGTTAGACGTGGTTTGTCTTACCCTTTGGAATTGTGAATAAGCATACAAAACCGTTCAAAAGTTTGCATGGGACAGGTAAAGTTTTTATTTTTGTTAAAGATTCTCTTCTGCTCACCAAGAATGCATTTATTTGATCAAAAGTACAGTAAAAACAGAAATACTGTGAAATATTATTACAATCTAAAGTAAGTGTTTTCCATTTGACTATATTTTAAAATGTAATTTATTCCTAATTATTAATTTTCAGCATCATTACGCCAGTCTTCAGTGTCACATGATCTTCAGAAATCATTCTAATATGCTGATTTGCTGCTCAAGACACATTTCTGATTATCATCATTGTTGAAAACAGTTAACTTAATATGTTTGTGAAAATACATTTTTTCAGGATTCTCCGCTAAATAGAAAGTTCAAAAGAGCAGCATTTATTTGAAACTGAAATCTTTCGTAACAATATAATGTCTTTACTGTCACTTTTGATCAATTTAATGCATACTCATTTCTTTCAAAAATAAAACTGTACTGACCCCAAACTTTTGAACAAAAACGGTATATAGTTTATCAAGACAAAACTGTTACCAACCCATTTTACTTGAATTAGGTATAAAGCACATCATGAGAGTAAATCAAGGAAATTTTGACTTCCTGTTAACTTCAGATGCATTCATTCTTCACAGTGAGTCAGTAGTCGGAATGGGCATTTTTCAAAAACATTGTATTTGAATATTTGGGCTCATAAAAAAACGAATATTCAAATATTTGTTTATTTAAATTATGTTTAACGAGAAAGACGTTCAATCAAGTTTGTCGTCACCATTTCTGAACAAGCTTATGTTTAGGCATCATACACAACAATGTGTACAACAACGTTACGTTATATCTCAAGGTTTTCATTTAGTTGAAAAAGTGTGTAAACAAAAAATATATACATAAAGAACAAAAGCATTGTACAGAACGTACATGTACTCGAGTCGACCTATGTTTATCAGGTTTATATTGTTTCACATCATGTTAATGTTGAGAAAAACAATAATATCCACATGAAAGCTCCTCAGTCTGATAACAATAAGAACGCGCAGCGACACATACGTTCCAGAGAGACAAAGATAACGGTGTGCTAGGCAAAGTTTCTTACAGCGCTTTGTGCTTTCTGTTCTTAAAGCACTCTCTCCCTAGAGGAAACTTAAAGGAAGCATATGTCTCAAGATCATTTGGCTATCCGAAAAGCTCTCTTCTCGGCTCACTCAGTACAACTGTCTTTCCTCAGTCCACTGCTGTTTGGATTTCATGTGATTTCTCATTGTGGTGGTGATATTATGATAACTCAGTTTCACGGATTCATTTGATCAAAAGTAATTCCATTTTGTAAGATCATTTAGTAAGATAATTTTGATCAAAGTAATTCCAAACTTCGCGAGGCAGACGACGACATTCTGTGATTTGTTCAACAACTTGTTAACTCGCTCCGCGGCGCCACCAAGTGCATTTAGTTATAACTAGTGCTGTCAAACAATTAATCGCGATTAATCGCATCCAAAATAAACGTTTTTGTTTACATAATATATGTGTGCGTACTGTGTATATTTACTATGTATATATAAATACACACACATGCATGTATATATTTTG